TGGGTGGGTGGGTGGGTGCCCGCTCCCACCCCGCCGGCCGCCCTAACGTGTGCACAAGTTGTGGGGATATTTTATTCATTAAAAGGAGGGCTTCATAAAAATATTTCTGATAAAAATGTAAGGTGGTCTTAAAACTTCCTAAACACGGAGATAGATGGATAGATAGATAGATAGATAGATAGATAGATAGATAGATAGATATAGATAAAGTTAAATGAGTTACTGGCCGGGATTTCTTGTCACTTCAAGTTCTCCGGCAGCGGTGCCGGCGAAGGGAGGGAAGGCACACGAACACAAAAGGAGCTTTTCAGGGACAAAACGTCGCGGCGGCTGCCAGGTTTACCCGGCGGTGGCACCTCGGGGTAGCCCGGACGAGGCACAGCAGAGCCGACCTGAGCCCCTGCCCGGCGCCGCCTTCCTAATTCCCGCTGCAGTGAGGCTACTTCAGCCTCAGATCCCCAGAACCACCCCAGAGCCCGACTGCACTGTAGTGTTGGGGTTTTGTTTTGCTTTGTTTGTTTGTTTTGGTTTTGGGTTTGTTTTGTTGCGTGTATTTTTTTTCCTCACACGATCCACAAGTTCATTTGCAGTAATTGGGAAGCGCTGCTCCGCTCCGGTATCTGCAGCGATACCCGCGTTTTAGCCCAGCTGCCCGCCCTATTTCTTTACTCCCTACTTAAGCAAAGCCCTGTTTTGTTTTGGTACCGATATTATTATATTTCTCGTCTTATGAAAAAAAAAAAAATAAATATTTAAAATGCTGGATAAAACTCTGGCTGCTTAATTAAAGGGGGGGGGGAAAAAGCTGCTGGGCTGCTTTGCATCTGAAGGATTGAGCTGTTGTGCCGTCTACTGGGCGACGGGGAAACTACAACCAGAAACGCCTTCAAACTTTCTGCGGGAGAAAAAGTCCAGTTTTTCGGTAATTTGGAGGGGCCGGAGGCGCCAGATTTTTCAGTAGAAGAAGACGAAAAGTGACCCCCCGGACAGAGAAGCCGTAGACGCAAATATTATTTCTTTCGGCTCCACCTGTATAATTGTGGAAGGCCCCGCTTGAGTGTGCGCGGTGTTTTACTGACTGCAGAGCGCGAAGCAACCGGCTGAGTTCAGGGGGGATCACGGTAAAGACAGTTTCAGTTTACCCACGGAAGGCAGTTCGACATTAGCTAAATATGTAGGGAAGGGGAGGAAAACCGCTTTTTAAAAAGGTGTGCGCAATCATTGCTAATGGTTTACAAACTTCCCCGCCAGC